TTGATTTATTGTTGTCAAGGTAAATGTCAGAACCAAGAAGTCTGAACACATAACTATAGTTGGATATTTTAATAAAGCAATCGATTAACGTACCACATAAGAGAAAACTCCAAATCCATATCCTGTTGCCAATGTCCAGAGCAAGTGCTCCCTTGAAGAAGTCAAAAAATGATTATCAGTTTATAAGACCTACGAAGCAATTCCTCTGTCACGAATACAAAAGCACAGGTTAAGAATGCCAAAAAATTCCAACAAGATCGATATTCCATTTAGAACGGGAGAATTCTAACCAATGTAGATTCTTGACATCATGTTAGTAGCATTGCCCCTTGCATAGACTATGTTTTAACTAATGATGTTTGAGAAGCTAATTGGTTCCTGCTGAACAAGTCCTAAATGGTTCCTCAACCATCTCAAATTGTATGACTTCAAAACATGACAGCCATCAAGTAAAACGTGACCAACAACACGGTCATAAAACCTCTCCAAGAAAAGTGGAGAAAATCGACAAAACAAAGGTCACCTATATTATTATTATTTCACTTCACAACAATACTAACTAATATGCCATGAATCTTCTACACTAAATTTAAGCCTCTAGAATACCTGATTGTAAGGAACTAGTGATACATGTGCATAGAACTCATCAGAAATCGCATCCAGTTGTAATCAAATACATGGAAATCGCCAGGTAAATGAACAAATATTCAAAATTTGCTACCAACAAACCTACACAAGAAAATATTTTAATCAATCTGTACCAAATTTTCAACAAAATTGACACTAAGAAGAGGAAAACTATGGACGGGTAATTAGAGAGGTGTTCTAAGTGACCTTGAGGTAGGTATACTTACTTTCTTCGGCAACGAAATTATTGGTCCAGCACGCTCAATACATATTGATGACATCGCCGATGGAGTTGTCGATGTATCGGACTTCCAGGCTGGTGATTCCAATGGACACCGACGCCATTGTTTCTTCTCCAACAATCGCTATCCAGGAACCTAAAATGTTAATTAGGGATATTGGAGAGAAGAGGAGAAAATGCCTCTGCCTTAATATTATAAATTGAATTTTAATTTGAGGGTTACCACAGTTAATAACCCCCACAAATTGCTTAGAAATGGCAGGGTTACTTAAACCTCCGTAATTAGATGCAATTTACTGGGTTATATTAACCTCCGTAATAAAACTCCAACAATTAAAGGGTTTTTTGTAGTGAACCCTAACCTTTTTCAAAAAAAATAATCTTTAAACACAATGTTTTTATTAGGTCAAAGGATGAAAAAAAAACTACCAAGTAAAATAACATGAGCTGACATTTGAACACATAGTTGAGGTATGTAACTTCACATTTGACCTAATAGACAATGCACTTTTCCTCATGATCGTTTGATAGAGTATATTAGAATAATGTTAAATATAATGTATTACTTTAGTTATATTTATATTAATTATTCTAACATTAATCATGCATAAATTATTTATTACTCGACTAAGTGCAGTGGGTACGTTGAGCCATTACCAGAGTTTACAAAGGAAATTGGAGAGTCACCAAAGTATAGAGGATTCGTGTTTGAAGAATATCACGAGTTGAGATTCAGAAACAGGAGTCATCCACCAGCTAGACCTGAAGATCTCATACATATAACACACTACTCAATTTCTAATTAGACAAAAAGTCTATGTGATGAAATGTTTTATCTCAATATGAAAAAGAAATATTGCAATAATATGTATTACATCATTTTTAATATGTAATGTTGAATATTTATGTAATAATGTGGTATGAGTAATTGTTAGTAATAAAGAAATAAATAAAGAAGAAAATATCTTGTTTGAACAATTTCACAGAAACGATCTTGTGAGATTTTGGAGTCTCATTATTTATGAAAAATTGAGATATTAGTGAGTGTGATTTATGCTAAGTTTTCTTTTTTCAAAATGATATTGGAATTCAATTAATGTACTGCATTGAATATTGTGTTTTTATTAGAAATCACTTTTAACATAAAGATACCTGGAATATGAATTGTAATCAGTCAAAATGTAGCTAAAAATACCTAATATCAAACTAATATTAGCTATTCCTGAAATTTCCTGTATTATTTTTTCTATCTTAATTTATATGATTCATTTTTCTTTTTAGTTCCTGCAAAAAGAAAATGACACATTCCTATATTTAATAAAAAAACTAACTTTAAAATATACATTTTATTTTTAATAAAATAATTTATAATTACATAAATAACTATTACTTATTTTAAATTTTAAATAAAATTATCTTTTAAATTTCATATCAAATCAAACTGTATCATCATATAAAATTGAATGTAAGGGATTATATTATATGCTTATATGAGCACTCAATTGGAAAATTACTTTTGCTCTTGAGTTTTCTTTAAGTAGGATAGGAGCGTTCTCAATCTTTGTTTTTAATAAAGAGCAACTTTCACATATAACAAATACAAAATTCATATTTGTATGCTATAGCAAAGTTTGCATAATTGCGCTCCATAGCAAACATGCTATGACTAGGCTATTTCGCTATACATATATACAAAAGAAGTAATTGTATAATTCGCTGGCTCCGCTTCAAATTTGTATAATTTCGTTGGCAGGCCATTTGTATGAATTGTTGTCAGCCTCTCATTTGTACAAATCGTTGAGAGTCTCTCAATTTAATTTTATGTGTTTGTATATTTGTATAAAATTTGAATTTGTATACAATTGAATCGAAATAAAACGTTTATATATCAAATATCGTTCTCTCACTCGCTTTATATAAACATAAATTATACATTGTATTTTGTATAATCTGTGTTTGTATAAAGCGAGAAAGAGAGAAAGGCAAAAGAGAACTGGACAGGGGAATATTTGTATTGTATAATTATAAGTGTATAGGATGAAGATATATGTATTTGCATGTGTATATACAATTTTCTCTCGCTTTATACAACAGAACATAATTTATACATTTCTGTTTGTATAAAGCGAGAGAGGCGAGTGACAGAGAGAGCGAGCGAGAGAGGGAAAGTGGCGAGCGAGAGTTTGAGGGAGAGAGGCGACTAGCAAACAGTTTGCTACAGGGCACAATTAAATCAAAGTGTGGTTATACCATTTAATTTGAATTAACAGTTTGTCATTATGTTCAATTTTCCCTTTAATAAATGGGCATCTTTGTCCCACTTTTAAATTAAGAAAATAAAAATAAAAATCTTCGTGTCTACTTTTCCTTATTCTGATAACGTGTTTTTTATTCTCCAAATAACTAAATATTAAAAAAATGCGTCAAACATATTTTGGTTTTATTATTAATTATTACCATCACCCATAGGCCATAACCATGTGTGACAATCATTCTTTCCTTAGTCATGCAACCAAAAATAAAAATTTCGTCTCATCATCAAGCTAACTAAGTTAACATTGTAAAATAAAGAAGCTCTCAAATGTTACTCTCTCAATGTATATGGAGAAATTTAAAATACAAGAAAATTAAAATATTTATTTTAATTATGAATTAATGTATAGATTTTTAAAAATAAAAATTGATATATTTAAATACACGGAAACACTATAAGTCAACAGATGTAATGGTTCAAAATATTTAAAAACAATTGAGAAAATTACAATTAAAAAACTATTTAATTACCTGAATAGTTATAACACCTTCATATAAGTTAAAATGAATTGGCAGAGTATTCGTGGAAAAAAAATGATGTGATGAGTAGGGTTGTTCAATACCGAATCGAAACTGATAATTCGAACAGAAAAAAAGTTATTGGTTTATCAGTAATGGGTTATTGGTTTAGCGGTTTTGATAACGGTCTTGATTTATTTTGTTATCGGATTATCAATTCCTAACGGTTTGAGGTTTTTTCTTAACGGGTTAACCGATAACCCGATAGTAAATTAAATAATTATATTTATACCATTTTGTATATAAAGTCCTTGACGTTGAGTTTGGTTTCTACTTTTATTTCTAGTTGTCTCAAACTCTTGGTTACTCTACAATGTAAAAGTGTTTGCTTTTGAGCAAGATGTAACTTGTGAACTCATGTGCATGGTTTATTTGGTTTGTCACCTTGTTTCCATGTGATTTTCAATATATTTTTTTGTGTCAAATCTTAACGGTTAAACTGATAACCGAACTGATAACGATCAACAACTGATAAACCAATAATTGATAAGCCAATGTCTTAGGGGTTCTATAACGGTTTAGTATCTCTACAAACCCATAACGAATAAGTCAAACCGATGAACTTCAAAATCAAACCGAACCGACCGATACACAGCCCAAGGGGCTAAAGAGTTATTCAGACCTTAATTATTATCCAAAGTGTAATTAAAGTTCCAACTAATAATTTGTTTAATGAACATAAAGGTCCCCCTCCTTTTTCCGCAACCAACATCTGTATTTTTTTCAAAATAATTTATTCAGTAATACTGAAGTCAGTTAGAAGACAAACATCATGGAGAGTTGCTGAAAATAAACAACTACATAAGTAGGTGGTAGTTGGTTTACTTTTGAGAAATAACAAATCTATCATCACTACTATATAGTAGGAGTAGCAACTAGCAATCAGCATCATCTAAAATATAAATTAATTAATTGGGTTCCACTATTAATTAAGTGATCATCTGGTTAGTTTACTGATCACGCCTATCAAACTTTTCTAATAGACTTGTTCAAGTTTTTATCTAATGATTCTTGTCCTCAATGATTTGTGGAGACCCTTTAACTAATAAGTATATATTTGTCTTGTAAGATAAAATGTTAGGACGTTACGTTATTGGATCATTTTTTTGGATTACTACAAAAGCATAAAATTCTTAAACTATAGCATATGACAAGTCTTGATAGAGCTAGCAATCCAGAAACTGAATATTTATATGGGGCAGATCAACAATTGACTTCTCCTTAAAACTATGTTTTTTTGTTTTGTTTTATAAAGAGGTTGAGAACAACATTGTGAGTCAAGATAATTAAGGAAAACACCATGGCTAGTTTTGATATTCCAACTATTGAAGTTTCTCCATTTTTTAGATTAGAGGAAAATATTGAAGAAGGGAAAAAGAAGGTTATTGTGCAAATTAGAGAAGCTTGTGTTAACTATGGTTTCTTCCAAATTGTGAATCACGGAATTCCTTTGGAGTTGTTGAGCGGATATGTATAAGACTTTCAGAAAACCTCGCGGTACCTTTTTATAACTATCTTAAAAGCACAAAGAATTCATCTGGGACTTATGAGCATTTGCTGTTTCGTTTTCCATTCAATGTCTTCCCCAATTTCAAGTAATATTTTATTCTATTCTCTCTCAATTGCATCTCAAATTAACTGTTTCTAGTTTAGGCGATCCTTTGTTATGGTGTTTCCAATAAGAAGTAGTACGAAATTTTAATTCTTTAGAAAATTTGCAAGAATGTTCTCTGTTTGATATTCTTAGGCAAGTATTGGAGGCGATTGTTTCTCATTTCACAAAATTAGAAGTTGTGTTGGAAGGAATCATAAATGAGTGTCTTGGCCTCCCTCCTGACTTCCTACCAAACTATAGAAATGATCGTTCTCGGGATTCATTGCTCGGTCTCCACTACTTTCCAGCGATAGAAGATGATGACAACACGGCAAAAACTGCACATGAAGATCCTGGCTGCTTCACTATTCTCTACCAGGATGAAGTTAGAGGCCTTGAGGTGCACAAAGATGACCAATGGATTCCCATAGCGCCTTCCAAAGACAAACTTATTGTTAACATCGGTGATGTGATTCAGGTATTCATAATTCGAATGTTGGTAAATTTTACAGTTGCCATTTCCCAAAATTTAAAAACTTTTATGTTTGTTGATATAAAAAAGGTGCTAAGCAACAATAAATTCAAGAGTACAACTCACAGAGTGGTGAGACCAAGTGAAACAAACCGTTACTCGTACTCTTTCTTCTATAATGTGCATGGAGACAAGTGGGTTGAGCCATTACCACAATTTACAAAGGAAATTGGAGAGTCGCCCAAGTACAGAGGATTCCTGTTTGAAGAATATCATCAGTTGAGATTCAGAAACAGGAGTCATCCATCAGCTAGACCTGAAGATCTCATCCATATAACACACTACTCAATTTCTAATTAGAGGACAAGTTTTATCTAATGAAAAGTTCTCTCTATATGGAAAGAAACATACCAATACCAATAATATGTATGTTGAATATGTATCGTGACCATCTCAATTAAAATTTTAAATTGTTAGGCAGCACATGACTGTTATTTCTTAATTATGTTTAACACGTCTTTTCAATTTATATCTATCTGTGTTACAGCTGTTTGACGTTACTAATTTAAAATACTCAAATTGCAGATACTGCGATCTTGTTTCTTTCTTTTCCGAATAACGTCAAGTACTACTCCTTCATATTGTTTACTCTAGTTTGTCCCTTTCCATGGTTCTGCAAAGGGAGTTAAATTATTTGATATGATTAATATTTAACCATACTTATGTGTAATCTTGTGCTAATAAGATTTAGGTATAATACATAAACATGACCCTTGACTTGACGTCAGCGAACAACTATGACCTTTAACTTTGGATGTGCACAAGTAGACACTTAAACTTCTATAAAATTGAACAAATAAACACATTCGTCCTACATGGCAATTTTGTGTTCAACGTGACGGCCTACGTGTATTATGTCACGTAGGACACATGTGTCTACTTGTTCTATTTTGTACAAGTTTAAGTGTCTATTTGTGCACACTCAAAGTTGGAGGGCATAGTTGTCCGTTGAAGCCAAGTTAAGGTCATGTTTATGTATTATACCTAAATCTTATTAGCACAAGATTACACATAAGTATGGTTAAATATTAATCATATCAAATAATTTAACTCCCTTTGCAGAACCATGGAAAGGGACAAACTAGAGTAAACAATATGAAGGAGTAGTACTTGACGTTATTCGGAAAAGAAAGAAACAAGATCGCAGTATCTGCAATTTGAGTATTTTAAATTAGTAACTCAAACAGCTGTAACACAGATAGATATAAATTTTTTATTTTTTATTTTTTATTTTCAGCAGCCAACTTTGACTATTTTTATTTTTTTTTATTTTTTTTTGTCATGTGCTGCCTAACAATTTAAATTTTTAATTGAGATGGTCACGATACATATTCAACATACATATTATTGCTATGTTTCTTTCCATATAGAGAGAACTTTTCATTAGATAAGGGTCATATTTATGTATTATGCCTAAGATTTATCTTAGCCATCTCACAAAACCAAATTATTGATTGATTTTTATCAACATCTTGGTTGCACGAGTACTATTGCAAGTTCACATGGTTATTTTTTAAGTCAATCCAAACGGACTCTAAATCATCTATTGTATAAGTAAACAGACACCATAAATGAACATATAATCTATTAAAACTTAATAAATAATTATTCTATAATAAATATTATATCCAAACGCATGGTTAATAGTATATATCTCAACACCTCTGATCTAGTGTACTTTGCCCCTGTTCAGTGGTTCGTTGACACCGTTATTTAATTTTAGCCATCCTATGTGGCAATTCACATCCTACATGGCGTCCTATATGTGTAATATGTCACATAGGATGCACGTGTATTCTTGTTTAATTTTTTAATTAGTTTAAGTGTTTACCTGTGTACATTCAAAGTTGGACAGTTATCAACCGAAGCCAAATTAAAAGACACATTTGTGTATTATGCCTTTTAAATTTATGTCAGAGTTTTCCAGAAATTCAAGTATTATTTATATGGCCATATGGGGCAGAACAGAAATGATTAAGGCTCAATTAATTTTAAATTCTGCTTAACTATTTTATTTGAGTGAATAATTGATATTTGTCTATTGAGAGTGGAGAAAATTAAGGAAGACATCATGGCTAGTTTTGACATTCCAACAATTGATGTTTCTCCATTTTTTAGTTCAGAGGAAAATGAAGAAGGGAAAAAGAAGGCTACTGAGCAAATGAAAGAAGCTTGTGTTAACTATGGTTTTTTCCAGATTGCGAATCACGAAATTCCTTTGGAGTTGTTGAGCAGAACGATGGATATGTATAAGACTTTCTTTGCTTCTTCAGATGAAGAAAAATTGTTGGTACCTAATAATTATGTCAAAAGCACACAGAATCCAGCTGAGACTTATGAGCACTTTGTGTTTCGTCTTTCATCCTCTGTCGTCAATGTCTGCCCCAAAAATCCACCTCATTTCAAGTAATTCTTTATTTTATTTACGCTCTATTGTATCTGAAATTGCAGTTGTTTGTGACATAAATATGTTTTGCCTTAGGGAATTATTGGAGGAGATGGCTTCGCATTTCAAAAAATTAGGAGTTGTGTTGGAAGGAATGATAAGTGAGTGTCTGGGGCTCCCTCCTAACTTCCTAACAAACTATAAAAATGATGAGTCTCGGGATATCTTGATCGGCCTCCACTACTTTCCAGCTACAGAAAACGACAACACGGGAAAACAGGCACACGAAGATCCTGGCTGCTTCACCGTTGTCTACCAGGATGAAATCGGTGGCCTTGAGGTGCACAAAAATGGGCACTGGATTCCCATAGCGCCTTCCAAAGACAAACTAGTTGTTAACATTGGTGATGTTATTCAGGTAATTATTGTTCTGCTCCGCTGCTCACAGTTATCATCCAAAAATTTGAAGAATCTTTTTTTTTTTCATGTCGAAAGGTGCTAAGCAACAATAGATTCAAGAGTGCAACTCACAGAGTGATCAGACCAAGAGATGCAAACCGTTTCTCGTGCACTTTCTTCTATAACGTGCAAGGAGACAAGTGGGTTGAACCATTACCTCAGTTCACCAAGGAAATTGGAGAGTCGCCCAAGTACAGAGGATTCCTCTTCGGAGAATATATGCAGTTGAGAATCAAAAACGTCACTCATCCACCAGCGAAACCTGAAGATCTCATCCATATAACACACTACTCAATTTCTAATTAGAGAAGACGTCTATGTAGTGAAAGTTTATCTATATTATGGAAATAAGATGTATTACATCACTCCTAATATATATGTTGAAGTGTACGATTATCTCAATTAAAAATTTAAATTGTTAGAGGGCACACAGTTATTTTCTTAAGTATGTTAAAGTTTGAAGAAATTACTATATTAATAAATAAAATAATTTTACATCGAGATTAATTGGAAGCCTTCAATGGGTCCGCCCCAGACCATACTTATCCTTGTGTGTAATTTTGTACCAATAGATTCATCTTAGTCATCTCACAAAACAAAATTATTGATTGATTTTTTTCAACATCTTGGTTGCACAAGTACTGTTGCAGGTTCACATGGCTAATTCAGCTATACCACCAATAGTTGGTGTCTCCCCTCTCTTTCTAAGGACCCGTTTGGCCCCAAAAATATTTAGGAAAAATTGAAGAAAATTTGGGGAGTGGTATTTGATCATATAACTTGACAAATATATTTGCCAAGTTTTCAAATACTAGAAAAAACTAGTATTTTGATCAAGTTTTAATATTTGGAATTTTAAAAATTCAAAAATTATCCTAAACTTTTATATTTTATAAAAATACTTATTATTTATTAATTCCAACTAATAATTGGTACGACCTCCTCCGAAAAAGTTTGAGTTCTAATTTGAGTGATAAAATTGAGAAAAAAAGAATAATTTGTGTTTAATGGATTATAATTATAACTGAATTAGTGAAAAATTGAGTATACAATTAATGTATTGTCTTGCCTTGCCTATATTGTTATTTTGTTATTGTTGATTGCTATCAATTATATTGTTTTTTTAATGGGACATATTCATTATAAAATGATAATATAAACTTGTGGGTATTTTTGATAATTTTTAGAACTTATGGGTTAAATAATATTTTTTGAAATCGTCAAATATTTTTGGGAAAATTTGGAGCCAAACACATGGTGAAACTTCACCAAGAACTTCACCCAAATATAATTTACCAAGAATATTTTAGTTTTGTACAATTCAGAATTTGTATAATATAATTTGTATAACTTTTGTATAATATAATTTGTATAACTTTTTACATTTCAGATGTTTATAATTGTTTAAATTCGTTATTACAAGTTTATACAAAAATAACTAAATTATACAAATATACTCGCGAATTATACAAATGAGGCAGCTTAAATTGTAGCTACAACCCATAAATATGCAAATTATAGCTATGGAACATAATTAAATTTATTATAATGACTATTTGCAAAAGTTATTCTAGAAACTGAATAGGAATAGATTGTAATTTCATATTAAAACTACGTGATTTCTAAAATTTATACTATTTATATTGGCAGAAATCAATAGTTGACTTCATTTTTGTTTATAGAGAGGTTGAGAAATCATTGAGAGTCAAGAGAATTAAGGAAATTAACATGGCTAGTTTTGATATTCCAACAATTGATGTTTCTCCATTTATAATATCAGAGGAAAATGAAGAAGGGAAAAAGAAGGCTATTGAGCAAATGAGAGAAGCTTGTGTTAACTATGGTTTCTTCCAAATTGCGAATCACGGAATTCCTTTGGAGTTGTTGAGCAGAATCATGGATATGTACAAGACTTTCTTTGCTTCTTCAGATGATGAAAAACTATCGGTACCTTCTGATAACTATTTCAAAAGCACAAAGAAATCAGCTGGGACTTATGAGCAGCTATACTGTTTCATCTTTCATCCTCTGGCTTCAATATCTGCCCCGAAAATCCACCTCATTTCAAGTAATATTTTACTAATTTATTTCCTCTATTGCCCTATTCTCTTTTGATTGCAAACTGTTTCTAGTTTAAGCGATTCCCTGTTATGGTGATTTCACTTAAATGGTAAGGTAGGAATGTTGTTTGTTAAATAAATATGTTTTGATATTCTTAGGCAAGTATTGGAGGAGATGGCTTCGCATTTCACAAATTTAGGATTTGTATTGGGGAGAATCATAAGTGAGTGTCTGGGCCTCCCTCCTAACTTCCTAGCAAACTACAGAAATGATCAGGCTAGGGATTTCTTGCTCGGCATCCACTACAGTCCAGCGACAGAAGCTGAGAACTAGGAAAATCCGCACACAAAGATCCTGGCTGCATCACCATTCTCTACCAGGCTGAAGTTGGAGGTCTTCAGGTGCATAAAGATGAACAGTGGATTCCCATAGCGCCTTCCAAAAACAAACTAGTAGTTAATATTGGTGATGTCATTCAGGTAATTATAGTTTGGTTATTCCTGATTTATTTCACAGTTATCATTATCCCAATTTTTTCGAGGAGTCAACATTTTTATTTTGTGTTTGACATATTAAAAAGGTGCTAAGCAACAATAAATTCAAGAGTGCAACGCACAGGGTGATCAGACCAAGAGAATCAAACCGTTACTCGTGTGCTTTCTTCTATAACGTGCAAGGAGACCAGTGGGTTGAGCCATTACCACAATGCACCAAGGAAATTGGAGAATCGCCCAAGTACAGAGGATTCCTCTTTAAAGAATATGTGCAGTTGAGACAGAGAGACGAGACTCATCCACCAGCTAGACCTGAAGATCAATTCAATATAACCCACTACTCAATTTTCTAATTAGAGGACAAGTCTATATGGAAAGAAACATAGCATTAATATGTATGTCAAAGTGTGTGATTATCTCATTTAAACTGTTACCGGGGACACAATTATTTTCTTAATTATGTTAACACGTCTTAAGTCTGATTCTTTGAAGAGGAATCCTCAATGCACTGTTTGTTGTTACTGATTTAAATAATCAAATTGCAGACTTGTTTGTTTCTTCCTTTTTTCTTTTCTGAATAATGTCAAGTACTCCTTTCATATTGTTTACTCTAGTTTTAGACACCAATGCATATTACCTAATAACATTAAAAATAAGAAAACAAAAGGCTATTAATTTGCCGATCGACATCTTTCATCAGGTGGGCAGGCACATTATGATTTTTTATTGGTTTTGGAATTTTGGATCAGAGTTTGCTGATCTGTTGTATTTTGATAATTGGTTTCTGTGGACCTTGATTCGATAAGATATGCTTACTGGCTTTTGAATTTTTTAAATTTTTTGGCTTTTGGAATTTTGGATCAAGACATGAACAGACAAATAGGCAATAGAAAATGACATTCAGCGACCAAAAAAAACAAAAAGAACACATGTCATAAATCAAAATTAATGGTTGAGATTTAATCACCTGAATCTCTTGTCCAAATAAGAACTTGGAGAAATGAAGAGATGCCAAATTTAACTAACTTCAACACCAGAAAATGCTTATAAAATAAACTCAAAAGAACATCCAAATATAAGACGAAGAACGACATTGAAGAGAAAATTAAGGAAAACATCAATATGGCAAGTTTTGATATTCCAACAATTGATGTTTCTCCATTTTTTAAATCAGAGGAAAATGAAGAAGGGAAAAAGAAGGCTATGGAGCAAATTAAAGAAGCTTGCGTTAACTATGGTTTCTTTCAGATTGTGAATCACGGAATTCCTTCAGACTTGTTGAGTAGAACCATCGATATGTATAAGACTTTCTTTGCCTGTTCGGATGAAGAAAAACTGTCGGTACCTGATAATTATTTAAAAAGCACACCGAATTCAGCTGATACTTTTGAGCACTTGTGGTTTCGTTTTCCGTTCTCTGGCTTCAATAACTGCCGCAGCATTACACCTTATTTCAAGTAATATTTCCGCTATATTCTCTCTCAAATTAACTGCTGATCCTCTGTTATGGTGTTTCCAATAAGAACTAACATTTTAATTTGCATGTGATATTCTTAGGCAAGTATTGGAGGAGATGGTTTCCCATTTCACAAAAGTAGGAGTTGTGTTGGAAGGAATCATAAGTGAGTGTCTTGGACTCCCTCCTGACTTCCTATCAAACTACAGAAATGATCGTTCTCGGGACTCATTGATGGGCCTCCACTACTTTCCAGCGACAGAAGATGACAACACAGGAAAACCTGCACATGAAGATCCTGGCTGCTTCACTATTCTCTACCAGGATGAAATCGGAGGCCTTCAGGTGCACAAAGATGACCAGTGGATATCCATAGCGCCTTCCAAAAACAAACTAGTTGTTAACATTGGTGATGTCATTCAGGTATTTATAACTCCACTCTTGGTTATAGATTTCACATTTACCATTATCCCAAAATTTTAACTTCTTATGTTGTTGACATATAAAAAGGTGCTAAGCAACAATAAATTCAAGAGTGCAACTCACAAAGTGGTGAGACCAAGTGAAACAAACCGTTACTCGTACGTGTTCTTCTATAATGTGCATGGAGACAAGTGGGTTGAGCCATTACCACAATTTACAAAGGAAATTGGAGAGTCGCCCAAGTACAGAGGATTCCTGTTTGAAGAATATCATCAGTTGAGATTCAGAAACAGGAGTCATCCACCAGCTAGACCTGAAGATCTCATCCATATAACACACTACTCAATTTCTAATTAGAGGACAAGTTTTATCTAATGAAAAGTTCTCTCTATATGGAAAGAAACATACCAATAATATGTATTACGTCACTCCTAATATGTATGTCGAAGTGTGTGACCACCTCATTTATAATTTAAATGAGCACATGACATTTATTTTCTAAATTATGTTAAACACGTCTTTCACCGTACAAGTCTGATTCATTGAAGAGGAATCTTCAATTTATATCTATGTGTCTTGCTGCTGCTTGTTGTTACTGATTCAAAACTGCAGATCTTGTTTCTCTCTTTGCTTTTTTCTTTTCCGAATAACGTCAAGTACTACTCCGTCATATTGTTTACTTTTGTTGACAATGCATCTGTTTTATAAAATCTAACTCCCTATTAAAGCTATATGGAATCCAGATTATTGAGATTTTCTTCTGAACAAATCCTTGATACTGCTAAAAAAATACTTCAGATCGACAAGTGAGAAAGAGTACTAATTTAGATTAATCTGTAAATTATAATAGTAAAATGAGGTGAAATCACGTGAAGTTGATAAATTGAAGGATCCATGTGACGTGGTTACGTCCCTTTTTCTATGGGGAGTTAAATTATTTGAGTTAATTAATATGTAACTATACTTATCCTTTTTAATAATGGAAATCAATTTTTTGTGTGTAATCTTGTACTAATAAGATTTGTCTTAGCAATATTGAATGTTGTAAGTAATAAGGTTCTTTAAAAGTCAACATGGATAATTCACTGATGCCAATAATTGATCTCTCCCCGTTCTTTCTAGGAGATGATGATGGCGAGAGAAAGACAAGCCAAGAAAATAACATTTTAATCACACCAAATAATGAAGGAATCCATTGTGTAAGAATGACTTATTTTTTGGGGTTAAACAAGGATTTCAATAGATTAAAGGAGAAAGAAAAAACATAAGTTCATTACAGGGGTTGAGGGGCATTCCCCACAGGAAAAGTATTGGCCGTTAGTATTGCCGTTTTAGTATAAAATTGTTCTAACAAAAAAAGTTCTCAATATGTCTGCTTGTAACGTTACTAAGGCGCACACAGGGGAACTTCAAAAATAATAATGGGGTCCCCAAAGCTTCATCCCTAACCTAAGAAGACTTTCAAGATGAATAGCATTAAAGAGCCTTTTTTTAGGTAAGAATTTAATTTTGGGAGAAATATAAAGAAAGGAGAAGCATAATGGTTTTTTAAAATTTTTGTTTATTAACTATGGGGTTTATGTTTATAAGATGACATAAAAAATAATTTATTTTGTCATGTCAAATTTATGTTAATAATATTCAATGACGATTGATATCTACTTAAGATAGAGAGTCCCACTATGCCCAAGACTATGAGGTTCTTAGCTCCACTTAATTTCTTCCTTGTAAATATCATTTTCTGTACCACATTTTGTAAGATCAGAAAATGCTTATAAATTAAACTCAAAAGAAAATCCAAATATAAGACTAAGAAGAGTGAAGAGAATTAAGAAAAATATCATGGCTAGTTTTGATATTCCAACAATTGATGTTTCTCCATTTTTTAGATCAGATGAAAATGGAGAAGGGAAAACGAAGGCTATTGAGCAAATTAGAGAAGCTTGTGTTAACTTTGGTTTCTTCCAAATTGTGAATCATGGAATTCCTTTGGAGTTGTTGAGCCAAACCATGGATATGTATAAGAATTTCTTTGCTTGTTCTGATGAAGAAAAACTCGCGGTACCTTCTGATAATTATTTAAAAAGCACAAAGAATTCAGTTGAGAACTTGGTGTTTCGTTTTCCATTCTCTGTCGTGGATGTCTGCCCCAACAAACTACCTCATTTCAAGTACTAATATATTCTCTCTTGATTGCAACTCAAATTAGTTGTTTCTAGTTTTTTGCATTTTCAGAATGTTGCCTAATAAATATGTTTTGATATTGTTAGGCAAGTATTGGATGATATGATTTCCCAGTTCACAAAATTAGGAGTTGTGTTGGAAGGAATCATAAGTGAGTGTCTTGGCCTCCCTCCTGACTTCCTACCAAACTACAGAAATGATCGGTCTGGGGATTCGTTGCTCGGACTCCACTATTTACCAGTGATGACAACATTGGAAAACCTCCACATGAAGATCTTGGCTTCTTCACCATTCTCTACCAGGATGAAGTTAAAGGCCTTGAGGTGCTTAAAGATGACCACTGGATTCCCATAGCGCCTTCCAAACACAAACTAATTGTTAACATTGGTGATGTCATTCAGGTACTTATAACTCCACTCTTGGTTGGTTATAGATTTCACATTTACCACTATCCCAAAATTTTAACTTTTTTTTTTTTTTAATGTTATTGACATAAATAAAAAAGGTCCTAAGCAACAATAAATTCAAGAGTGCAACTCACAGAGCAGTGAGCCCAAGTGAAACAGACCGTTACTCGTACGCGTTCTTCTATAATGTGCAAGGAGCCAAGTGGGTTGAGCCATTACCACAATTTACAGAGGAAATTGGAGAGTCGCCAAAGTACAGAGGATTCCTGTTTGAAGAATATCATCAGCTGAGAATCAAAAACAGGAGTAATCCACCAGATAGACCTGAAGATCTCATCCATATAACCCACTACTCAATTTCTAATTAGAGGACAAGTTTTATCTAATGAAAAGTTCTCTCTATATGGAAAGAAACATAGCAATAATATGTATGTTGAATATGTATCGTGACCATCTCAATTAAAAATTTAAATTGTTAGGCAGCACATGACTGTTATTTCTTAATTATGTTTAACACGTCTTTTCAATTTATATCTATCTGTGCTACAGCTGTTTGTCGTTACTAATTTAAAATACTCAAATTGCAGATACTGCGATCTTGTTTCTTTCTTTTCCGAATAACGTCAAGTACTACTCCTTCATATTGTTTACTCTAGTTTGTCCCTTTCCATGGTTCTGCAAAGGGAGTTAAATTATTTGATATGATTAATATTTAACCATACTTATGTGTAATCTTGTGCTAATAAGATTTAGGTATATTACATAAACATGACCTTTGACTTGACGTCAGCGGACAACTATTACCTTTAACTTTGGGTGTACACAAGTAGACACTTAAACTTTTCTTATAAAATTGACAAATAAACACATTCGTCCTACATGGCACCCTACATGGCAATTTTTGTGTCCAACGTGACGGCCTACGTGTATTATGTCACGTAGGACACATGTGTCTACTTGTTCTATTTTGTAGTTTAAGTGTCTATTTGTGCACACTCAAAGTTGGAGGGCATAGTTGTCCGCTGAAGCCAAGTTAAGGGTCGTGTTTATGTATTATGCCTAAGATTTATCTTAGCCATCTCACAAAACCAAATTATTGATTGATTTTTATCAACATCTTGGTTGCACGAGTACTATTGCAAGTCCACATGGCTATTTTTTAAGTCAATCCAAACGGACTCTAAATCATCTACTATATAAGTAAAAAGACACCATAAATGAACATATAATCTATAAAACTTAATAAATAATTAGCCTATAATAAATACTATATCCAAACGCATGGTTAATAGTATATATCTCAACACCTCTGATCTAGTGTACTTTGCCCATGTTCAGTGGTTCGCTGACACCGTTGTTTAATTTTAGGCATCCTATATATGTGGCAATTCACATCCTACATGGCGTTCTATATGTGTAATATGCCACATAGGATGAACGTGTATTCTTGTTTAATTTTTTAATTAGTTTAAGTGTCTACCTGTGTACATTCAAAGTTGGACAGTTATCAACCGAAGCTAAATTAAAAGACACATTTGTGTATTATGCCTTTTAAATTTATGTCAGAGCTTTCCAGAAATTCAAGTATTATTTATATGGCCATATGGGGCAGAACAGAAATGATTAGGGGCTAATTAATTTTAAATTCTTCTTAACTATTTTATTTGAGTGAATAATTGATACTTGTCTATTGAGAGTGGAGAAAATTAAGGAAGACATGATAGCTAGTTTTGATATTCCAACAATTGATGTTTCTCCGTTTTATAGATCAGAGGGAAATGAAGAAGGGAAAAAGAAGGCTTTTGAGCAAATGAAAGAAGCTTGTATTAACTATGGTTTCTTCCAGATTGCGAATCACGAAATTCCTTTGGAGTTGTTGAGCAGAACGATGGATATGTATAAGACTTTTTTTGCTTCTTCAGATGAAGAAAAACTGTTGGTACCTAATAATTATTTCAAAAGCACACAGAATCCAGCTGAGACTTATGAGCATTTTGTGTTTCGTCTTTCATCCTCTGTCGTCAATGTCTGCCCCAAAAATCCACCTCATTTCAAGTAATTCTTTATTTTATTTACGGTATATTGTATCTGAAATTGCAGTTGTTTGTGAAATAAATATGTTTTTTTGCCTTAGGGAATTATTGGAGGAGATGGCTTCGCATTTCAAAAAATTAGGAGTTGTGTTGGAAGGAATCATAAGTGAGTGTGTGGGGCTCCCTCCTAACTTCCTAACAAACTATAAAAATGATGAGTCTCGGGATACCTTGATCGGCCTCCACTACTTTCCAGCTACAGAAAACGACAACACAGGAAAAACTGCACACGAAGATCCTGGCTGCTTCACCGTTGTCTACCAGGATGAAATCGGAGGCCTTGAGGTGCACAAAGATGACCAGTGGATACCCATAGCGCCTTCCAAAGACAAACTAGTTGTTAACATTGGAGATGTTATTCAGGTAATTATTGTTCCGCACCGCTGCTCACAGTTATCATCCAAAAATTTGAAGAATCTTTTCTTTTATGTCGAAGGTGCTAAGCAACAATAGATTCAAGAGTGCAACTCACAGAGTGGTGAGACCAAGAGAAGCAAACCGTTACTCGTGCACTTTCTTCTATAACGTGCAAGGAGACAAGTGGGTTGAGCCATTACCACAGTTTACAGAGGAAATTGGAGAGTCGCCCAAGTACAGAGGATTCCTCTTCGGAGAATATATGCAGTTGAGAATCAAAAACATGACTCATCCACCAGCTAGACCTCAAGATCTCATCCATATAACACACTACTCAATTTCTATGTCATGAAATGTTTTCTCTTTATATGGCAAGAAACATAGCAAGAAAAATAATATGTGTATGCAGTTGTTGTTTTCTTTCTTTCTTTCTTTTTTTCTTTTCCGAATAACGTCAACTACTCCTTTCATATTGTTTACTCTTGTTAAAATTTTAAATTGTTAAAGAGCATACAATTATTTTATTAATTATGTTAAACACGTACAAGCCTGATTCATAGAATCCTCTATGTGTCTTGCTGCTGTCAATTTGAAATACTGCACATCTTATTTCTTCTCCGAATAACACGTCGGTCAAGTACTACTCCTTCATATTGTTTACTTTAGTTTGTCCCTTTCTATGGTTCGGCAAAGGGAGTTAAATTATTTGATTGGATTAGTCCTTAACCATATTTAGTGGCGGTAGAGAAGATTAGGAAAGTGACACTTTACGAAACCCTAAGCTTAAGGAAAGTTTTATAGGGAAGGAATTCGGGAACTTGCCCGAAATGGGCCCTATCTTGTTTATATGCTTATTTGTTAATTGGATTTGGACATTAGGTCCAAATGAGTGATGTAATTGTTCTCTTTCATATCAATAAAGCTGAAAAATTTAAACTAAAATAAAATAATAAAAATACTAGGTATCTCCCCTTTCTTTCTAAGATTAAGAGATGAAAACTATGAGAGAATTGATAAACGAAGCATGTTGTCGATATGGATTTGACTATTTTTACCAAATTATCAATTAATATCGTCATACAGTTTAAGAAGAAGACGGGAGGTGAGAGGCATTAATTTAAAAAATAATAATTTATTCTTTTGTTAAATTTAATTAGAGTTTTTTAAAAATTGGATCCAAGCGCTTCATGTTATCATTTCATTGGTCCACCTGCTATGTGTACACAATTTATTATTTTATGTCTAATAGATATAAACTTTTTAAGATTAAAGTGGTAAATGAAATATTAAGGGCACATATGACTTAATTTTTGAGTTTTTTAAAAAATTATGACAAAGCTAGCAATCCAGAAACAGAAAATCAATAGTTGACTTCAGTTTTGCTTTATAAAGAGGTTAAGAACATCATTGAGAGTCAAGAGAATCAACATGGCTAATTTTGATATTCCAACAATTGATGTTTCTCCATTTATTAGATCAGAGGAAAATGAAGAAGGGAAAAAGAAGTCTATTGAACAAATGAGAGAAGCTTGTGTTAACTATGGTTTCTTCCAAATTGCGAATCACGGAATTCCTTTGGAGTTGTTGAGCAGAATCATGGATATGTACAAGACTTTCTTTGCTTCTTCAGATGAAGAAAAACTATCGGTACCTTCTGATACTTATTTCAAAAGCACAAAGAAATCAGCTGGGACTTATGAGCAGCTATTGTTTCATCTTTCATCCTCCGGCTTCAATGTCTGCCCCGAAAATCCACCTCATTTCAAGTAATATTTTACTAATTTATTTCCGTTTATAGCCCTATTCTCTTTTGATTGGAAATTGTTTCTAGTTTAAGTGATTCCCTGTTATGGTGATTTCACTTAAATGATAAGGTAGGAATGTTGTTTGTGAAATAAATATGTTTTGATATTCTTAGGCAAGTATTGGAGGAGATGGCTTCGCATTTCACAAAATTAGGATTTGTATTGGGGAGAATCATAAGTGAGTGTCTGGGCCTCCCTCCTAACTTCCTAGCAAACTACAGAAATGATCAGGCTAGGGATTTCTTGCTCGGCATCCACTACAGTCCAGCGACAGAAGCTGAGAACGTAGGAAAATCCGCACACAAAGATCCTGGCTGCATCACCATTCTCTACCAGGCTGAAGTCGGAGGTCTTCAGGTTCACAAAGATGAACAGTGGATTCCCATAGCGCCTTCGAAAGACAAACTAGTAGTTAATATTGGTGATGTCATTCAGGTAATTATAGTTTGGTTATTCCAAGAGTTTGATGTCACAGTTATCATTTTCCCAAAATTTTCGAGGAGTCAACATTTTTATTTTGTGTTGACATATTAAAAAGGTGCTAAGCAACAATAAATTCAAGAGTGCATCGCACAGGGTGATCAGACCAAGAGAAACAAACCGTTACTCGTGTGCTTTCTTCTATAACGTGCAAGGAGACAAGTGGGTTGAGCCATTACCACAATGCACCAAGGAAATTGGAGAATCGCCCAAGTACAGAGGATTCCTCTTTAAAGAATATGTGCAGTTGAGACAGAGAGACGAGACTCATCCACCAGCTAGACCTGAAGATCAATTCAATATAACCCACTACTCAATTTTCTAATTAGAGGACAAGTCTATATGGAAAGAAACATAGCATTAATATGTATGTCAAAGTGTGTGATTATCTCATTTAAACTGTTACTGGGGACACAATTATTTTCTTAATTATGTTAACACGTCTTTGATCGTACAAGCCTGATTCTTTGAAGAGGAATCCTCAATGCACTGTTTGTTGTTACTGATTTAAAATAATCAAATTGCAGACTTGTTTGTTTCTTTCCTTTTTTCTTTTCTGAATAATGTCAAGTACTCCTTTCATATTGTTTACTCTAGTTTTAGACACCAATGCATATTACCTAATGGCTAATAACATTAAAAATAAGAAAACAAAAGGCTATTAATTTGCCGATCAGGTGGGCAGGCACATTATGATTTTTTATTGGTTTTGGAATTTTGGATCAGAGTTTGCTGATCTGTTGTATTTTGATAATTGGTTACCTTGATTCGATAAGATATGCTTACTGGCTTTTGAATTTTTTTAAATTTTTTGGCTTTTGGAATTTTGGATCAAGACATGAACAGACAGGCAATGGAAAATGACATCCAGCGACCAAAAAAAACAAAAAGAACACATGTCATAAATCTAAATTAATGGTTGAGATTTAATCACTTGAATCTCTTGTCCAAATAAGAACTTGGAGAAATGAAGAGATGCCAAATTTAACTAACTTCAACACCAGAAAATGCTTATAAAATAAACTCAAAAGAACATCCAAATATAAGACGAAGAACGACATTGAAGAGAAAATTAAGGAAAACATCAATATGGCAAGTTTTGATATTCCAACAATTGATGTTTCTCCATTTTTTAAATCAGAGGAAAATGAAGAAGGGAAAAAGAAGGCTATGGAGCAAATTAAAGAAGCTTGCGTTAACTATGGTTTCTTTCAGATTGTGAATCACGGAATTCCTTCAGACTTGTTGAGTAGAACCATCGATATGTACAAAACTTTCTTTGCCTGTTCGGATGAAGAAAAGCTGTCGGTACCTGATAATTATTTAAAAAGCACACCGAATTCAGCTGATACTTTTGAGCACTTGTGGTTTCGTTTTCCGTTCTCTGGCTTCAATAACTGCCGCAGCATTGCACCTCATTTCAAGTAATGTTTCCGCTATATTATCCCTCAAATTAACTGCTGATCCTCTGTTATGGTGTTTCCAATAAGAACTAACATTTTAATTTGCATGTGATATTCTTAGGAAAGTATTGGAGGAGATGGTTTCCCATTTCACAAAATTAGGAGTTGTGTTGGAAGGAATCATAAGTGAGTGTCTTGGACTCCCTCCTGACTTCCTATCAAACTACAGAAATGATCGTTCTCGGGACTCATTGATGGGCCTCCACTACTTTCCAGCGACAGAAGATGACAACACAGGAAAACCTGCACATGAAGATCCTGGCTGCTTCACTATTCTCTACCAGGATGAAATCGGAGGCCTTCAGGTGCACAAAGATGACCAGTGGATATCCATAGCGCCTTCCAAAAACAAACTAGTTGTTAACATTGGTGATGTCATTCAGGCATTTATAATTCCACTCTTGGTTATAGATTTCACATTTACCATTATCCCAAAATTTTAACTTCTTATGTTGTTGACATATAAAAAGGTGCTAAGCAACAATAAATTCAAGAGTGCAACTCACAAAGTGGTGAGATCAAGTGAAACAAACCGTTACTCGTACGTGTTCTTCTATAATGTGCACGGAGACAAGTGGGTTGAGCCATTACCACAATTTACAAAGGAAATTGGAGAGTCGCCCAAGTACAGAGGATTCGTGTTTGAAGAATATCATCAGTTGAGATTCAGAAACAGGAGTCATCCACCAGCTAGACCTGAAGATCTCATCCATATAACACACTACTCAATTTCTAATTAGAGGACAAGTTTTATCTAATGAAAAGTTCTCTCTATATGGAAAGAAACATACCAATAATATGTATTACGTCACTCCTAATATGTATGTCAAAGTGTGTGACCACCTCATTTAATAATTTAAATGAGCACACATTTATTTTCTAAATTATGTTAAACACGTCTTTCACCGTACAAGTCTGATTTATTGAATAGGAATCCTCAATTTATATCTATGTGTCTTGCTGCTGCTTGTTGTTACTGATTCAAAATAATCAAATTGCAGATCTTGTTTCTTTTCTTTTCCGAATAACGTCAAGTACTACTACTCCTTCATATTGTTTACTTTTGTTGACAATGCATCTGTTTTATAAAATCTAACTCCCTATTAAAGCTATATGGAATCCAGATTATTGAGATTTTCTTATGAACAAATCCTTGATACTGCTAAAAAAATACTTCAGACAAATGAGAAAGAGTACTAATTTAGATTAATCTGTAAATTATAATAGTAAAATGAGGTGAAATCACGTGAAGTTGATAAATTGAAGGATCCAGTCCCTTTTTCTATGGGGAGTTAAATTATTTGAGTTAATTAATATGTAACTATACTTGTCCTTTTTAATAATGGAAATCAATTTTTTGTGTGTAATCTTGTACTAATAAGATTTGTCTTAGCAATATTGAATGTTGTAAGTAATAAGGTTCTTTAAAAGTCAACATGGATAATTCACTGATTCCAATAATTGATCACTCCCCGTTCTTTCTAGGAGATGAAGATGGCGAGAGAAAGACGAGGCAAGAAAATAACATTTTAATCACACCAAATAATGAAGGAATCCGTTGTTTAAGAATGACTTAATTTTTTGGAGTTAAACAAGGATTTCAATAGACTAAAGGAGAAAGAAAAAACATAAGTTCATTACAGGGGTTGAGGGGCATTCCCCACTGGAAAAGTATTGCCGTTTTAGTATAAAATTGTTCTAATAAAAAAAGTTCTCACTATGTCTGCTTGTAACGTTACTAAGGCGCACACAAGGGAACTTCAAAAATAATAATGGGGTCCCCAAAGCTTCATCCCTAAGAAGACTTTCAAGATGAATAGCATTAAAGAGCCTTTTTTTTAGGTAAGAATTTAATTTTGGGAGAAATATAAAGAAAGAGAAGCATAATGGTTTTTTTTAATTTTTGTTTATTAACTATGGGGTTTATGTTTATAAGATGACATAAAAAATAATTTATTTTGTCATGTCAAATTTATGTTAATAATATTCAATGACGATTGATATCTACTTAAGATAGAGAGTCCCACTATGCCCAAGACTATGAGGTTCTTAGCTCTACTTAATTTCTTCCTTGTAAATATCTTTTTTGGTACCACTAACTTGTAAGATCAGAAAATGCTTATAAATTAAACTCAAAAGAAAATCCAAATATAAGACTAAGAAGAGTGAAGAGAATTAAGAAAAATATCATGGCTAGTTTTGATATTCCAACAATTGATGTTTCTCCATTTTTTAGATCAGATGAAAATGGAGAAGGGAAAACGAAGGCTATTGAGCAAATTAGAGAAGCTTGTGTTAACTTTGGTTTCTTCCAAATTGTGAATCATGGAATTCCTTTGGAGTTGTTGAGCCAAACCATGGATATGTATAAGAATTTCTTTGCTTGTTCTGATGAAGAAAAACTCGCGGTACCTTCTGATAATTATTTAAAAAGCACAAAGAATTCAGTTGAGAACTTGGTGTTTCGTTTTCCATTCTCTGTCGTGGATGTCTGCCCCAACAAACTACCTCATTTCAAGTACTAATATATTCTCTCTTGATTGCAACTCAAATTAGTTGTTTCTAGTTTTTTGCATTTTCAGAATGTTGCCTAATAAATATGTTTTGATATTGTTAGGCAAGTATTGGATGATATGATTTCCCAGTTCACAAAATTAGGAGTTGTGTTGGAAGGAATCATAAGTGAGTGTCTTGGACTCCCTCCTGACTTCCTATCAAACTACAGAAATGATCGTTCTCGGGACTCATTGATGGGCCTCCACTACTTTCCAGCGACAGAAGATGACAACACAGGAAAACCTGCACATGAAGATCCTGGCTGCTTCACTATTCTCTACCAGGATGAAATCGGAGGCCTTCAGGTGCACAAAGATGACCAGTGGATATCCATAGCGCCTTCCAAAAACAAACTAGTTGTTAACATTGGTGATGTCATTCAGGTATTTATAATTTCACTCTTGGTTAATTGCACAGTTACGTACCATTATCCCAAATTTTAAAAACTTTTTTTATATATGTTGTTGACATAAAGGTGCTAAGTAACAATAAATTCAAGAGTGCAACTCACAGAGCAGTGAGCCCAAGTGAAACAGACCGTTACTCGTACGCGTTCTTCTATAACGTGCAAGGAGCCAAGTGGGTTGAGCCATTACCACAATTTACAGAGGAAATTGGAGAGTCGCCAAAGTACAGAGGATTCCTGTTTGAAGAATATCATCAGCTGAGAATCAAAAACAGGAGTAATCCACCAGATAGACCTGAAGATCTCATCCATATAACCCACTACTCAATTTCTAATTAGAGAAGACGTCTATGTAGTGAAAAGTTTTATCTATATTATGGAAATAAAGATGTATTACATCACTCCTAATATATATGTTGAAGTGTGCGACCATCTCAATTAAAAATTTAAATTGTTAGAGGGCACACAGTTATTTTCTTAAGTATGTTAAACATGTCTTTCACGCACAAGCCTGATTCTATGAAGAGGAATCCTCAATTTATAGCTATGTATTGCTGCTGTATGTTCAAAATATTCAAATTGCGGATACTGCAGATTTTGTTTTCTTGCTTTCCTTTTTTTTCTTTTCAGAATAACGTCAAGTACTCATTCATATTGTTTACTCTTGTTTTAGATACCAATGCTTCTGTTTTATAAAATTTAACTCCATATTAAAGTTATATGGGAATCTAGAGTATTGAGATTTTCTCTGAACAAATCTTTGATAATGCTAAAAATAATATCAGACAAATGATAAAGAGTACTAATTAAGATCTAACAACACAACGCAAATTATAATAGTAATGTGTGGTGAAATCACGTGAAGTTATATGAATTGAAGGATCCATGTGACGTCGTTATGTCCCTTTTCTATGGGGAGTTAAATTATTTGATTTAATTAATCTGTAACCATACTTATCCTTTTTTATAATGTTAACCATCAACCAGAAACACACGTATCTAGATAAGTACTTAAAAAGCCACCATTTTGTTTGTAATCTTGTACTAATAAGATTTTTCTTAGCCATATTGAATGTTGTAAATCAACATGGCTAATTCACTGATGCCAATAGTTGATCTCTCCCCGTTCTTTCTAGGAGATGAAGATGGCGAGAGAAAGGCAAGAGAAGTGATACACGAAGCATGTAGTCGATATGGCTTCTTCCAAATAATCAATCATGGGGTGCCTTTGGACCTTATGAGCCGCGCCTTAAAACTATCAAAGTCCTTTTTTGAGTGTCCTGTTGAAGAGAAAATGAACTGCTCTCCATTGCCAGGGGCGCCTTTTCCTGCAGGCTATAACAGAAAACCAAATCCGTCTTATGAATTTGCAGAGTACTTGGTTATGCTTCACCCCGGATCCACCTTCAATGTTTTTCCTGCCAATCATCCACAACTCCGGTTAGTTATATATATCTTAATATTAGAATGATTTAAGTTAAATGCATAAAAAAGTTTTGACACGATTAGTCTTGTTTGATCAATTAATATTCGTCATAGAGTTTACTTGTCATTACCTTTTTGAGTGATCTGATTGTGTAAATATTGAACTTAAAATCACACTTCTAGTTATCTCATTTTTGCCAAAATAGCTATCGAACTTCTCCAACAGATTCATCCAAGTTTTCATATTCTCTGCTATCTAATGATTCTTGTACTAAATTATTTGTTGAGAACCTTTACATCTTTAAAAATTTATGACAGAAAATGAATATTATTTATATGGCCATATGGGGCAGAACAGAAATGATTAAGGGCTATTTAATTATAAATCCCATACATTTAACTATTTTTATTTGAGTGAATGATTAAGGGCTAGTTAATTTTAAATCCCGTTTAACTATTTTATATGAGTGAATGATTGCGTATTTATCTATTAATCTAATGTATAGAACACAAATCATCACCTTTGTAGGGCATGAAAAGCTGATCACTTAAAATAAACAGAAAGAAACTTGTCCTTCAAGTTGAACGAATAGCCGTTGACATATTAATTAGTATTGTTTATTCAATGTTTCAGAGAAGTAATGGGAGATTTATTCAATCAATTCACAAAGATCGGTGCAATTTTAGAAAGCATCCTTAGTGAATCCTTGGGTCTGCCTCCAAGTACTCTTCAAGAATTTAACAATGAGAGAAATTCTGATGTGTTGACAGCATTGTATTATGTACCAGCAACAGAGAATGAGAAAATGGGAATAAATTCACATAGAGATGTTGGATGTATAACATTTGTGTTACAAGATGAAGTTGGAGGGCTTGAAGTTCAAAAGGATGGTAAATGGATCCCAGTAACCCCCAATAAAGGTGCCCTTGTTGTTAACATTGGTATTGTTCTTCAGGTAAAAAAAATATACTTACTATATTATATAAGTATCATTTAGTATTTACACAGCCGAGGAATGTGATGGGATGGCTCTACCCATAACCAGAGATCTTGAGTTCGAGTCTTGTATTTGCAGAAGCTGATCTGCAACAACCATAACTTGAGGAGTTACAGGCTACTAGTATCCTTTATTGGTGGACCCGACTCAACAACTTTTTCCAACACTCTTAAATGAGTCCTACATGTCACGAATCTGAATTAGTCTAACCATTGAGTTTCATATAGTAGATGATTACACTAAAAATATAATTATATTATTTTTTCGTATGATGTTTATTTTTTCTTATTTTTTTGTTGAAGGTGCTGACGAATGACAAATACAAAAGTCCAAATCATAGGGTGATGAGACCCAATGGGAGATCAAGAAATTCATTTTCATTCTTCTATAATGTATCAGGGGGGAAATGGCTTGAACCCCTTCCCTATTTCACTAAGCAAATTGATGAGAAACCAAATTATCAGGGATTCATTTACAGTGATTATTTGCAAAAACGCAACGAAAATAAGCTCAAACGTGCTGCTGGACTTGAAGAAGATCTTGGTTTATCTCATTTTTCACTCACTAAATCAATAGAGAATCATTAAATGTATGTTTTATCAATCATTGTTCCCCCTCATTTTAAATATAAACTTTCTTAATTTGTAGACATGTTTCCCCTAGTCTTGACATGTTTTTTGGGCCAAGTTATCTTTCGTCCTCTTTATGGACTAAATTCAAGTTGAGTATATGAACGTACAGCCCAAGAGGGTTGGATTGGACAAGCGTCCAGGTCCACTTCTAATGGATGTACGAGAGTAGAAATAACTTTTCAATCTTGTTTCGGAAAAATAGTCATTATTATCGTGGAGTTTCAAATTTTACATGTAAACAAGATTAATTGGTCTAAGGTATTCACTGTCCAATGACAAAAATGCTTAAGATAGTTAGTTGTGTGCATCTATATTTCTGATCATAGAAAGATGGTTGTGTGAAAATTATCCCCTTATACATAAATAAATAAAGCACCAATTAATTTTGCATTATTTTTAACCTTCTTCATACAGTAATGAGAGATTCATTGATATCAATGTCTCAATTTATGTATAAATATGGTTTTGGTAGGATTATAGGGATTCTTTTATTTTTTAATTAGAGGTTTTGAATCAATTTTTTGGAAATGACTTTTTTTTATTGTTGAAAATGTTGGACATCAGATGGAAAACTAAAAGAAAATCTCAAATTATGCTATTAACAGATTTGTAATTCAACTACCTTTATCAAATTTACTCGGCTCAAAATCTATTATTTATACCTATTTGATAGATAAACACATATACATGGTCTAATCCCAAACATTTACATATCAATAGCTTATTACTCATTGGATACACATCTGAGTTATCCGACACATTTTTCGTTTTAATTATATTTATCCATAAAAACTGTCACAGTTTATATCTAAAAAATTATTTTTATTTTATTTTTGAATGATAAATTTAAAGCCACATATATATATATATATATATATATATATATATATATATATATATATCCACGCTTTCTTCCTCGTCTCCACACCATCAGCACAAAAAATGTAAATGTGCTTTAACAAAGCTATGCCACCCTTAATGTATGAACAGGGGATTCTTCTTTTCAATGGACTGTAAACAATAATGAAATAACAACAAACAAGAAGTCGACAAAGCATAACACTAGTGTCGATCAATCAGTGATAGACAGACGGGGACACACATTGCTTCAAGTGGTGTCATCTCATATCAATTCACTAAACTTTTTCGTTAAATATTTATGTATACAATATCACTTGAAAAATAACACAAAGTAAACCTTATTAAACCTACATGACCTTGAATCTACACTCGTATATACTAGCTCAATTGTGATGAAGACGTTACACCGCTTGGATAAAATCATGCGCGTGTTATGAGAATTGAGAAGTTATACCTGTATCTGGTACAGAGATGATCTCTTCTTCCTCCCTTTTCAGCTCTCTCATATAGTGATCAGACTCACTCTTTGCAGCCAAATAACTGTAAAGCGAATAAATCAATGATTAATTATAATTATTACTCCTAACAGATTCATTATAATACAAAATTTAGATTAGTCATGATTAACCTACCACAACTCTCACATTTTATGAACTTCAATCTGTACTTTAAACCATTTATGCAAAACACACATAGTTGAGTTCACACAGGTAGAATTTGAATCATTGGCGGAGGCAGGATTTTCACCGAGGATTGCCAAATTATAACAGAATAACCAACCACACACAAAAAAGAACCCAAAATGACTTGATATAAAGTACACACATAAATAAGAATAAAAAAAAAAGTTTACCAATTTACACAATATAATTTTTCAATGATTCGAACAAAGGTGTCTCCGCCACTGATTACTGTCAAATATTTTCGATACAGATATATGTAAATGAGATAAAAAATACTTTTTTGACACACACACATTCAATGTAATCACATGAATGAAGTCTGGAAAGGGTGAGATATACGCATACCGTCACTGTTCCCGATAAACCTCAACTCAAGTAAATTTTAAACTAATATTCAAAAGTAAAATGAATTTCATTGTGAATCTTAAAATTATTTCTTTTTACATTTTTTATTCAATTAAATAATATCATATACATTAAAACGTAAGATTTACGCTTTAAAGTTCCAAAATGAAATAATAGTCAAGAGATAAGCTGGGATTTCTTCTGGTTGCCCAAAAAATAGGAAGGAGTGTTATTATTATGAGTATAATATAGTCTAATATATGTTTGGGTAAATATCTACAAATTTGATGTCAGCATCATATATTATAATAGTAAGCACTCAATTGGCAAATTGCATTTTCTCTTGACTTTTCTTTAAACAGGATAGGAGCTTTCTCAATCCTTGTGTCTCCTTTTCCTTATTCTGATGACGTGTTCTCTTTTTTCCCTCTAAAATTAAAATAAAATGTGTCAATCATATTTTGCTTTTATTATTATCATCTCCATTTGTGTCCATCATTCTTTCCTTAATCATGCAACCGACAATAAAAAAATCGTCTTCTCATCAAGCTAACCTAATATTCGTCTTTATCAGGAGTCGGGAAGCGTTTTATTCTTCAATGT